GTATTAGGTTACTTGCATGTTTGTTTTCTGATTTTTGAGGAAGATCGCCAGTTCCAAGCAGTCCCTAACTCTAGATGAGGGCTTAAAGAACTGACTACCTGGCAGAGCTGGCTTTTTTATTATAGCTACAGTGGAAATGGGATCTTCATGTTCACAAGTGCTTTTTCTGGCTACCTCAATCTCAATCTGCTTTCTCAAAATGCATCTTGCCTACATATGCATGTAACCTAATACAGAAGATCTTGCAGTTGAAAAATAGCTTTCACCTGTGCAAACTAATCATCTGATAATAAACTGGATGGGGGCTTGAATTTTCCATAGTATTTTTGATCTTCTGCTCTTCAACAGAATAAGTGCATCTTGTTTCAGCTTTGATTATCGTACACTATAGAGCAGACCCAGAATCCAAGATGTGTAACTTGCACTCTAATTCCGATTCTTTTAGGATATTGGTTACAAGAAGACCATCTTGCAATAATTAACAGAGTTTGAATACAAACCGATCAACAGTGGAGAGATATACCTGAGAATCACATAAAGATTTCATTTTGCAAATATATTAGATTCATTTTTATTGATTTTAAAAAGCTTCTTAATTTCATTGTTAAAAGTCTGAATTGGATAGACAAAAAGTAAGGAGCAAGTGTTTATCCTCACCATTATTCCAATTATAAATAGTAATAAGTGAATGTAACACAAAGTAAGGAAAGAGTACTAGAGAGGTTTTGTTATCCACTATAATTCCCTACCCTGACATCTTTCAAATATGCTGTATTTTACTTCCCATAATTCCAAGGGCATCACAGTGCTTCCCATCTATAGATAATTCATGTTGGCTTAAGTGACTGAATTCTAGTTCAGTCGAGTTTCCACTTTCTGTGCTTTTAGCACTAGAAAAACCATGCCTTCTGAAGGTGAAACCAAAAGTCAAAATCTCCCTATAAAGCAGGAGTGTCAAACTCAATTTCATTGAGGGCTGCATCAGGATTTTGTTTGACCTTGGGGGTGGGGCATGGCCGGGGGGGGGGGCAGCATGACCAGCTCAATGTCACTCATATTGGTGGCACCTGTGGTGGCCTGAGCGCTCTGCTAGCAAAAACAGGCTCCCCAGCTCTGTTTTTGGCTGCGACAGCCTCCTGCAACCCTCTGCCAGCAAAAAAAGAGCTCAGGAGGGCTGCCTGCAGCCCTCCCGAGCTCTGTTTTTGCTGGCAGAGGCACCGCGGTCCAGTCCTTCGCTGTTTCCAGGGTGGCCCTGTCAGATAGATCTAAGCAGCCTGAGGGCCAGATCTGGCCCACGGGCCTTGAGTTTGATACCCTTGCTATAAAGCCTTCGGTGGAAATAGAAGCTTTCCTTTCCAAACAAAAACAGCTTTGGAAAACTAAGCACAGTAATTACAGTAATGCAATTAATGTCACATCTAGTTTAACCCTTGTTTATTTATCTTCCCGGTGAGGAAATATTCATTATTCCTTATTTGACTCTGCTGTAAGCATTGAGAAAGAAATTTCCAAAACATTTTTAACAATAATATCATATTCAAGAGCAATAGAAGGAATGGAAATGAAAAGAGTCCATATGGTGCTATGCAGCCAGTTTAATATCATGGTTAGGGACCCATGCTAGAAACAACTCAGGCACAAAGCTTTCGGGGTTACTATGAGGGTTCTTTATTTTCCAAGGACTGCATATACCACAATAGAGCAGATAACTGTACAAAATACTTTGTTGTGGCACAACACTTTCCTATTGTCCCATTAACTCTACCCAACTAAGCTTGTGTATCCACATAAGTCTTTGATGGTTAGTCCTTATAAGAGCTGTGATGGTACAGTGGTTAGAATGCAGTACTGCAAGCCTAACTAACTGCTCACTCCAGGAGTTCAATTCTGAGTGGCTCAAGGTTGACTCACCTTCCATCCTTCCGAGGTTGATAAAATGAGGATCCCAATTGTTGCGGGCAATATGCTGCCATTACAAACCACTTAGAAAGGGCTGTGAAGCACTGTGAAGTGATACATAAATTTAAGTGCTATTGCTATTGCTATTATAATAAATACAAGTCTTAAAATTTGTAAAGTTGTACCCAATCTTTGCTTCCCTTCAAAAGTTCTTGCGCTGCCTAAGTGTAGTTGTTCTTCTGGTTGCTACCAAACTCAGGTCAAGCTCTAACTAAGCTCCAGGCAGGAATCACACTCCAATGGGCTGCTTAGTGTAGCTTGTGGTTCTGGCAATTGATTGATAGCTCTCTTGCTTGCCTGTAATACTTATACTTCCCAAATGTTGCTTTCTGATCCCTGCCCTATAAACTCACATTTCTGTAGACTAAGGGCCTGGGTGGAGTGAGATTGCCTCTGGACATTGGCACGTTCTTAAAAACACCAGTGAGTGATCAATTAGCCTGGCACTTCAAATGTCAGCATTGATGGGTATGAGTAAACTGGATGAGGAATGAATGAATGAATCAATCTCCTTTCATGTTTCTGGGATTGTAAACTTTTACTGTCCTTTGGGAGAAGGGATGAGTTTCATTATTTGACTTTGGACCAGCCATTCTTTCTCAGCCCTAGGAAGCAGACAATAGCAAACAACTTCTTTAAAAATTCTTGCCAAGAAAACTACAGTCCAAGGCAGTTGACAGGAGTTAATGCTTTTTTGAAGGCAAACAAACAAAGAAATAAACAAACAAATAAGCAAGCAAGCAAGCAAGCTGTAATTATGGAAGCATTTTGGGATCTCTTTGCTACTAAAGCCTACAGAGAATTTCCAAAGCAAAGTTATAAAGCCAAGATGCTGCATTTTGCCTTGTCTTTCTGTCATCATCATCAGCTGTTTCTTCTGGGACCTTAAATGGAAAACCAAGTGCTCTTCCAAACCTTCCTGTTTTATCACATTCCAAGCTGCCTGCTTTCTGCAATTAAATTCAAACCCAGAGTTTGTGCCAAAGGCCCTGTTGTTGTTTGGAAAAAAGGCTATAGTTTAACTATGTAAGTACAATCCTGAATGATGTACCCAATATTGGTATCTACCATTGAATCAGGAACTGTGAATCTACCAGGCATAGCAAAAAAAGATATTCTTATAACAGTGAAAAGAAAATGCTACCTTGAACCTATAACTTAGCATTATAATATTGTATGTGTTCACTCTACTTTTGAACTGACTGCTGATGGAATGGAAAGATGGATCAATATTATTCTGTAGGGGCAAGCTTTAAGACTGGGCTTAAAAAACCCACAATACGTTTTCTATATCTATAATACAACATTTTCTTTTTTTCTGTTTGTTTTGTTTTCCTTGTTTTGCATATTTTTGCATACTTTATATTCCTTTCTTTCTGTGTCTTAGAGCAAATAAAATGAATCCAAAGAAGAACCAAGAGGTTGATGGACTTGAGAACGTATCTGTCTTTGGGGTCTCCAGCTGATCCAAATCTGGATACATGAATGCTGCTTTGACTTAAAGAAGGAAGAAATCAACTTTATTCCCCTTTTGCCATTTCTGTAGGTAGCAGAGAAGGGGAAAAAATGGAACCAATTAAGAAAACTTTTTTCTCCCTGTTCAACTTTTACTGGCTAATGGAAAGTGAATCCCTCCCTCCCTTCTCCAGCCAATATCTCACACAATGTCTTCAATTTTGTTTTTAGAACAAAGAGTGTGTTAATTTCTTGTTTGTTCCATTTTCCAATGTGTCTATGCATATATGCAAGTTGTATGTATGTATGTACATATGTACACATACACACACACACACACACACACACACAGAGAGAGAGAGAGAGAGAGAGAGAGAGAGAGAGAGAGAGAGAGAGAGAGAGAGAGATTTGAATGAAATTAGTAAGTTCTGTTTACAACTGTGATTACTTTTACTTGATTGATTACTGACCACAGCAAGGTTCATATATCTGTAGGGTAAAAGGAGACAAGATCTGGGATGCAAATATTTAGAACACCACTAGGTGGCAGCAGAGAGTCAGGGCTGTCTCTATATTATCCTGCTGTCATATGATGCATCAGATTTTTTTCAGCCCAGAATGGTTGGCCCTACTTTCTGAGATGGCAATGGAACCAGCCAATCAGTTTTGTGGAATACAGATTTACTGCATTTGTACTTTCCACTCAGGTTTCATTCAAGGACTGACTGAATGGAAATATTTTTGTTTACTTTACCAATGGTAGTGGGACTTTTTCATTTCAGATTTTCATTGTGCTACTGAGATTGCAGATCCAAATGATTCTTTGACTTTGTTTCAGCCAAACACCAGTTTTCTCTCTAAATGAACACTTGCAAATTACATGGTTGGTTGCATAGTCAGCTAGATGTTTAGAATGGATCTGGCATTTTAGCCACCTATCAAGTCTTTCCAAAGAAACAAAGATAGTACCAAAAGTAATAGGCACCTTGGATGCAATTCCAAAACATCTGGAGCATCACTTGAATACCATTGGCATTGACATCATCAGTCAATTGCAAAAGGCAGCTTTACTTGGAACAGCTTATATCCTGCAACTAAATCTTTAACACCATCAAACAACCACATCTGCCTATCCCAGGTCCTTGGGAAGAACTTGATATGTGGATAAAAATGCCAAATCCAATATAAACATCTGGCTGACTGTGAAGAACTATAATAATAATAATAATAAGTTCTTGGGAAAAACTTTATTGCATATGAAGGTTAACACTTGATAAAGAACTGGTAGCTGCGGCTTCACATTTTTGTGAACAGATTATTTATTAAATTTAAGTGCCACTTTGGAGTCATGAAACTGTTGCTGGTAGGAGCATCTCTATGCCAATTTTAGGCTGGTCTAACTTGTCCCTAACAAGGCAAAGTTGTCACTTTTGCAAACAAGCAATTTGTATTGCTGTAGAAGGGAAGAGAATATTACACAATGATTTTATAATAATTTAAATAATGTTATTGCACATCTACTTAATTTTATCACATTATATTATTTAGTTTAGTCCATATGTGTAGATGTTACACTTTCATATTAGAGTATTGGATATTATAAAGCCACAAAAACTATGGTAGCAATAGTTCTATCTAATGGGATTTTTTATACTGAACATCTCTCATTTTATTTTTAGAAAAACTGTTCAAAAAATTGGCAGACACTCTGCTGCAAGAATTGTGTTGTGTACTTGTATCTGACCAATCAAAGTCAATAAATATTTTACAAGCAAAATAAGTTTCTTTAAAAAAATCAAATTTAATAGCCCTACAGGGTTATGTTCTTTTATTTCATTAAATTCTAGTTCACATGATCTGAACAAACATTTTCTGTCAATATTTAATTTTAAAAAGTCCAACTCAATCAAGTAAACAAAGCCTTAGAAAGTATAATTTTCTTCCTTGACTAAACTAAACCCATTAAGACTTTAATGCAAGAATGAATGAAAGACAAAGGGTACATGCTTCTCAAAAGATGAAAGCATGCAGTCCATTTGCATTTTAAAATTAATTGCTGACCTAATTATTTGTCAGTAGAGGCATAAATTAAGTAAATATAACTTATAGTAAGGCTTCAAGACACCCAGAGGAGTTTGACTCCCCCCAGAGTAAATTGTAATTGTCCAGCATGACAATCTATTTTTGCCGTCATTTCATGACCGAAGGAAAAATTTCTGGGAAACTGTACCATATGGAGACATGAGAGGGAATGATAGACTTAGATCTCTTGTACAAAGAGATGAGAAACTAGAAGTCACCAGAGAACATCTGAAGGCGCAGCTTTGATTTTAGAAAAAGGGGGATATGCTTCCCATGCCTACTCAGATGGAATTTATAATGCTGATGAAAATGCATTGATGAGGGGCTTCGAGGGGAGGAGCTGCCGCCGTCGGGAGCTCAACAAAGCTCCTGCCAGGACTCTGGTTCGTATATCTTTGTACAAGAG